TCGACATTGAATTTCATCTGCCAAGGGTCTGCCCATTTGGCCAACCTGTCAGTGTCCCTCTGAAATCACTCAGCATCATCCTCACAGTTCTCTAGTTTAGTATCACCTGCAAATTTCTTGGGATTTTGTCCTCTATACCCAACTCCATATCATCTATATAAATCAGAAAAAGTGAGGGTCCCAACACCGATCCCTGGGGACCACCACTCTCAACTCCTCCCCAATCTGAGAACTGCACATCTACACCTTCCCTCTATTTGCAATCCTTTAACCAACTTCTGATCCATGCTTCAAGGACCCATCAATTCTAAACATTTCTCATTTTCTAACCAACCTGCCATGTGGCACCATATCAAATGCTTTCTGAAAGTCCAAATCTACAACATCTACGGCACTATCCTTACCCACTGCCTGGCCACCTCATTAAAGAACTCAATTAAATTTGTCAGACATGGCCTGCCTTTGACAAGGCCATGTTGACTGTCTAATATTTACTTATTTTTCTCCAGCTGTATATTTATCTCATCCAGTGTTATAGCCTCCATCATGTTCCCATTTTTGATGTCAGTTGCATAATTTTATTAACCATACTGTCTAATAATCACTGAGACAAAATTCAGATTAGGCCTGTAAGTGGCTTGGGAAATGTTGTCTCTTTAATTGTTCACAAACTATAGTGTGACTTCAAAGACCAGTCTTTATTACCCCATTCCCTGGTTTCCTCTTGAGAAGGTGATGATGGTTGTATCAGGTATTGGTTCTGAAGAGGTTAGTGTTCATGTCTCCACACATAGATTGAGTCACATATAATTCTACTCCAATTTCTGGGGGGAGCAGATGTATCTGCACAACTCCATAAGGTCCTATTAATTGTCGCTGACTAAGTGGAATTGCATTAATACTAATGGTGCAATTAAACCTTCTTGTTATTTAAGAACAGTGCAATTTCTTTACATTTCATTTAAATTTACAGAATACTGAGATGCCTGGATAAGAGTGGATGTGATTAAGATGTTTCCATTAGTAGGAGAGACTAGGACCTGAGGGTACAGCCTCAGAGTGAAGGGACAACCCTGTAGAACTGAGATAAGGAGGATTTTCTTCAGCCAGAGGGTGGTGAATCTGTGGAACTCATTGCCACAAAAGGTTGTGGGGGCCAAGTCATTGAGTGTTTTTAAGACAAAGATAGATACGTTCTTGATTAGAAAAGGGATCAAGCGTTTTGTGAAGAAAGGAGAATGGGGTTGAGAGATATATCAGGTATGATTGAATGGCAGAGCAGACTCAACGGGACAAATCACCTAATTCTGCTCCTATGTCTTATGATCTTAGTCTGCCACAAAACTTTTTTTTATTCATCCATGGGTTAAGGGCAATGCTAGCTACACCAGCATTTATTGCCCAATCCTAATTTTAAGAGTCAACCACATTGCTGAGGGCATGGAGTCACATGTAGACCAGACCAAGTAAAAATGGCACTTTCCTTCCCTAAAGGACATTAGGTGAACCAGATGGGTTTTTCCTGACAATTGTCAATGGATTCATTGTCATCATTAGGCTTTTAATTAGATTTTAATTGAATTCAAATTCTGCCATCTGCTGTTCCTGAATTCAAATGTGGGGGTTCCCCAGAACATTACCTGGGTCACTGGATTAACACTCTAATGATAATACCACTCGGCGATGGTCAAGAAGGGACAACAATGCCTCTTCTTCCTGAGGCGGCTCAGGAAATTTGACATGTCCATAAGGTCCCTCACTAACTTCTACTGATGCACCATTGATAGCTTACTGTCTAGGTGTGTAACGGCCTGGTATGGCAACTGCTGTGCACAGGACTGTTAGAAACTACAGAAGGTGGTGTGCACAGCCCAGACCATCATGGAAACCAACCTTCCATCCAGGGATTCTATTTACATTGCTCACTGCCGCAGAAAGGCTGCCAACATCATCATAGACCCATTGCACCCTGGTAATGATCTCCTGCAACTTCTTCCATCAGGCAGAAGATACAGAAGCCTGACCGCACACACGAGCAGGTTCAGGAACAGCTTCTTTCTGGCCATTATCATAGTGTTGAATGGACTCTAGCCTCAAATAACGTAATCTGCAATGTAACCTGTATGCCTCTAAGTCTTTTTGATCTATACATCATTTGCGTGTTGTGAACTGCCTGTACTGCTCATAAACAAACCTTTTCACTGTATTTTGGTACACATGACAATAAATCAATCACCAGATCAGATCACCAAATATTTGTTTTGATCTGATTAGAAACCAATAACTTCAAGTTTTGAAAATGTATGATGTGCGAGATTTTCCAAGACAGTAAAGCCACATGATTGCACAGTTAATGATTAAAACTTCAGCTATACAGTCAGTAATAAGTGAAGCTCGCAGAGAGTGTGGAACGATAGATGCACAGAGAATTGGATAACAAACAAGGCATTCAGACTGAAAAAAAACCCAAAGAACTGTGAATGCTGGAAATCAGAAACAAAAACAGGAATTGTTGGAAGAGCTTAGCAAGTCTGGTGGCATCAGTGGAGAGAAAGCAGATTTAATGTTTCAGGTCGAGTGACCCTTCATCATAACTCATTCAGACTGTCAAGAATAGCAGTGCATGAGCCATGCTATCAAGGCCTTAGTTAAAAGAACAGAACATTTGAAAGTTTGTGGAAAAAACAAAGATAATAAGAGACACACGGACATTAGAGCATGGGAATTGTAAAATGCATGCTGTAATCTGGATAGCCTTGAAAGTGTTCTGTAACATTGCAGAGTGACTAAGAAACTGCAAAGTGTTACTGCTCCTTTTCCATACAAATGAATGAAATAAATGATCATTGTCCTAAAACAAAAACAAGAGATTGCTTGGAAAACTCAACAGTTCTGGCAGCATCTGTGGGGAGAAAGCAGAGTAATGTTTCAAGTCCAGTGACTCTTCATCAGAACTCTTTGTGTTCCATAACACCTGAAATGAAAAGGTTTCTTGTTAGAATGTCAAACGAGCAGGAGAATAAAGTGAAAATGAGGGGCAGCGTGAAGCAGTGCTGATGGAGGAGAGGAGGAGAGTTTGGATATGGTGGTGCATAGTACTGAGTGTGGATTTCACAGTGCAGTGAGAGTAGCTGTCTGAGGAAAGTTGTACATCATGGAGGTGCCTGTGATCCTGGGTGGATTCGAAACATGGAGGATGAAACTTCAGTGGGAATCCATGTGGGGTGAGTCTGAGCCGGAAGCAGTCACTGAGGAATGAGATGTGGATGTGGCTGTTTTGGCAAAAATTTTGTCAAATACTAGGAGAGAAAAAGAAAGTAATGATGGAAAACAAGAAGAAAGGTTAAAATGGAAATCCCATCGGAGAGAGGAGCAGAACCCCGTCAAGGTAGCAAACCTGGAAGAGATGTGGCAATGAGTTAAACACAAAACTAAAACAAAAAAAACCTAATATTGGAGCTCTATAACAAAAACAAAAACCACATGTGAAGCTCAGCAGATGTGACAGCAAGTATGGAAAGAAAACAGTTAACATTGACTCCAATAATTCTTCATCAGATCTTCGTTGCCCTTTTCTTTCCCCTGAAGTTCCTCTTATTAATTTGTCAAGTTGACCTCGTAAGAGCCTAATTACTGTTTTTCCCATTTGGTTCATTATAAGGAATTCATTTTAGGGAAGGATATGTGCCATTCCTACCCAGTTTGGGATTATATGTAACTCCAAGCCCACACATACAGGGCACCCCCATCTCCTACCGACTAACCTCATCCCGCCCTCTTGACCTGTCCGTCCTCCCTGGACTGACCTATCCCCTCCCTAACTCCCCACCTACACTCACCTTTACTGGCTCCATCCCCGCCTCTTCGACCTGTTTGTTTCCTCTCCACCTATCCTCTCCTCTATCCATCTTCTATCCGCCTCCCACTCTCTCCCTATTTATTTCAGAACCCCCTTCCCCTCCCCCTTTTCTGATGAAGGGTCTAGGCCCGAAACATCAACCTTTCTGCTCCTATGATGCTGCTTGGCCTGCTGTGTTCATCCAGCCCTGCAACTTGTTGTCTCTCATACAGTGATGTGGTTGACTCTGAAATACCCTTAGGGCAATTACAGTCAAACAATCACCAGACTAATTCCTGGGACGGCAGAACTGACTTACAAAGAAAGACTGAATTGGTTAGATCTATATTCATTGGAGTTCAGAAGAATAGGGGTGAAGGGGGAATTTCATAGAAATTTACAAAATTCTAACAGGACCAGGCAGGGCTGATGCAGGAAGGATATGCCGGGGTGTCCAGAACCAGGTGTCACAGTCTGAGAATGCAGGGTAGGCCATTTAGGACTGAAATAAGGAGAAATGCCTTCACCCAGAGTGTGGGAAGCTTATGGCATTCTCTGCCACAGAAAGTGGTTGACCCCAGAACACTGAATATTTTCAAGAAGACGTTAGATATAGTCCTTAAGGCTAACGGGATCAAAGGTAGGAACAAGGTACTGCTATGGATAATCCGCCGTGATCGTATTGAGTGGCGGAGCAGGCTCGAAGGGAGAAACGGTCCATCCTTGCTTCTAAGATAACAAGGTGTAGAGCTGGATGAACACAGCAGGCCAAGCAGCATCAGAGGAGCAGGAAGGCTGACATTTCGGGTCTGGACACTGCTTCAGAAAAAGGACTGACTTGCTTCTAATTTCTCGCTATTAATGCTGATCTATCGATACAAATTAATAACTACCTTCAGCTCAAAAGACCCCGGGTCAATAAGGAAATCAAGGAATAGGTCAGGGGCAGAAATAAAATGAAAGACCATCAGTTCAGTCGTTACACAGCAGAGGTTAATTGGGCCGAAAGGCCTCAGCTCCAGCTCAGGCTCCCAAAAACCACTGGGAAGGAGGCGGCGGACGCCCTGCATCTCGGCGCTCCCATTGGTTGGAGGACCATTTTCCCTCCCCACCCCCGGGGAGCGATCCGAGCCCCTATTGGTCTGGACGCACGTCAATCAGGTGCAGGCCCCACCCTCCCAGGTGGCGGAGGTCACGTGGTGCGGCCCTGTAGCCGCTGAGTCTGAGGCGGCTCCGGTTCGCTTCCACCGGGAGGGGGAGGGAAAGCTTCCAGAAGCTCCGGTTCGTGCGTTTGTTCATCTTTATTATGTCCCCGCTCGCGTTATTCTCTCCAGTGTTTGCAGCTCCGGACGGTTCACTTTTTGCCGACGTTTACTTGTAATCTCCTTTGGGCTACTGCGCCTCCCTCCGGGGCGGGCATCGGGCGCATGCGCGTCTGTCTCACCGCGGAACACATAGAGCGCTTTCCCGCGCGCGGGGCCTTATGGGATGGTCCGGCCGCCCTCGGGCAATGGCCAACCAGCCGGCCGGCGGGGAGCTTCTCAGGCGGGCTCCTCGGGATGCTGAAAACCTGCTGGCATCGGGAACAGCAGCAAGGCCGTTCAGCTTCCTTGACTATCGTTGACAGTGTGCAGTATTGGTCATCTTATTCGATGCCGTTGGAAGCCTATTAAAGACAGTTTGCACCTGGATTTGGCGGATGTTTCTGTGTTTCACTTGATCGAACAGATTAGGGTTGTAGCCGCCGGAGTTTAGATGGGTAGGAGTCAACTTAATTGAGGAGTCTTGTTAAGGTAGATGTGAAAAGAAAAAAAAAGAAAGAATTGCAGATGCTGTAAATTAGAAACGATAAAAGAAGTTGCCGGAAGAGCTCAGCAGGTCTGGCAGCATCTGTGTAGAGAAATCAGAGTTAACGTTTCGTGTCCTTTCTGAGGAAGGGTCACCAGACCCAAGACATTAACACTGATTTCTCTTCACAGATGCTGCCAGACCTGCTGAGCTTTTCCTGCAACTTCTGTAGTTGTGAAAAGGATGATCCCTCATTCTACAATATCCCTTGAGGGTAACAGAAGCAGACTTTGAATCTTTTTCAGGCAGAAATAGATAGCTTCTTGACAAACAAGTTGATAAGTGGATGGATATTGATGGATGGATCAGATCAGGGATTGATATTATTGAAAGGCAGAGTAGGCTTGAAGAACTAAATGCCTGCTCCTAACTCTAATGTACCTTTCAATCCTTGCTTTCAAAGCCGTTATTCTTCACGTCATCCGCAAATTTGCATTATGGCTTTCTACCCCATAACAGTCATTTGAGTTCATGTCATCAGAACATTAGCCAGGGACTATGGATTAATAATCAAGTGTCATTACCAATGTGCCACCCCCTCCTCTTCACAGGGTGCTGCAGTCACAAGATCTGCTTTCTGAATCGTAACTAAGGTCATGTCTTCATTTACAATTTCTGCCAATTTAATGACTGTCTGTTTCTATCTCCACTCCTCTCTTTGTGAGTGACCTTCCCCTCCCTGACTCTCCACTTCCTGCTAATGTGCTGGTAGAAAGGCATTTCATTGTTCTTTGGGGAAAAATTAGCTGCAAAGTAATTGTGCTCCATCTTACTCTTCCTGCATTCATTTTACAGGGGTTTATAGACCAGGCCTCCCTTTAAGATCTGAGTCAGTAGCTGGATTCATCAGGATCTGAACATCATCGGTCTTTGCACATGGAAGGAGAAAAGCGTGATCGACTGGTGGACACACCACACGTTTGTACCGTGTGTGGACTCACCGTTATCCTTTCGCCTGACCTGGAGAGACACGTGCACTGTAACTGTGAGGAGGAGCCAGGTAACAGTCGGGGCAGCAAGAAAGAATTCGGTTCACTGTCCGTAGATGATCAACGCCCTGCCACTGAGGAGAGTCAGTTTACCTGCTCTCCATGTGGGGAGGATTTTTCTTATCCTTCCCATGTGCGAGCGCAGCAGCGGGTTCACTGCAACAAGAATCCGTGGAAATGTTCCCACTGTGCCAAGGGCTTCAAGAACCCGCAGGAGTTTAAGCGACACCAGGGCCAACACACTGGGCAGAGGCCTTTCCCCTGCTCGGTATGCGGGAAGGGATTCACTCAGTTATCTGACCAGCGGAGGCATCGGAAAAGCCACTCCGTTCAACCACTCCTTGACTGCTCCTTCTGCGGGAAAAAGTTCACTCGATCATCTTCCCTCCTGAGACATCAGCAGTTTCACACCAATGCACGTCCGTTTCAGAGTTCAGACAAATGCAACCAGGAGCTGAGGGGACAACAGCTGGAGGGAGTCAACGAGAGGCCGTTCACCTGCCCGGCGTGTGGTAAGAGGTTTGCCCGCTCTTCCAACCTGCTGACCCACCAGCGGGTCCACACGGGGGAGAGGCCATTCACCTGCCCGGACTGTGGGAAGGAGTTTGCCCAGGCTTCCAACCTGGAAACGCACCAGCGCGTCCACACTGGGGAGAAGCCATTCACCTGCTCTGTGTGCGGGAAAGGATTTGCTCGATCGTCCGCCCTACTGACCCACCAGCGGGTACACACCGGGGAGAGGCCGTTCACCTGCTCCGTATGTGGGAAGGGGTTCACTCAGTCCTCCAACCTGCTGACCCACCAGCGCATCCACACCGGCGAGAGGCCGTTCACCTGCTCCGTGTGCGGGAAGGGATTCATTCGCTCCTCCAAGCTGCTGACCCACCAGCAGGTCCACACCGATGAGAGACCGTTCCCCTGTTCGACCTGCGGGAAGTGTTTTAAAAGCACCAACAGTCTGGTGATACACCAACGCTATCACACTGCCGTGCGACCGTTCGCCTGCTCTGTGTGCGGGAAGGGATTCACAGACTCGTCCCACCTCCTGAGGCACCAGCGGGTCCACACAGATGAGAGGCCGTTCACTTGCTCTGTGTGTGGGAAGGGATTCATTCGCTCCTCCCACTTGCTGAGACACCAACAGGTTCATCCGACTTCCTAGCATATGACCCTGATGGTAGCTGGGCTGAAGTGAAAAGTGTTTTATGAATTCCCATGCTGTTCCTTTAGGTTTTCAGCCTGTTTGGCTGACAGTTCCCTTTATCGAATCTCTCATGGTTTTACATGAACTCTACACCACAAGCCATTTGGCTCAGTTGGTCTGAGAACACATTATTTCACCACTTGAGCCTCGTCCCATCCTCTCTTCACCTCACATCCATAACCATATCCTTCCATTCCTTTCTCTATCATGTGTTTATCCAGTTATCCCCCTTCAGTATGTTCCGACTATTCTTTTAATATGACTGTACGAAACAGGAACAGAATGAGGCCATTTGGCCCCTTCAGCCATTTGAAAGGTCACAGTTGATCCAACATTCCTCACATCCACTTTCCAGTCCTTTCCCCATAACTCTTGATTTTTGAACTGGACAAGAATCTATCTATCTTAGCCTTAAATATACATAATGACTCTGTTCCCACAGTGCTTTGGCAAGGAATTCCAAAGACTCTTAATCCTCTGAGAGGAAAAAAATCTCCTCAACTCAGTCTTAAATTGGTGCCCATTTATTCTGAGTCAATGCCCTCTGGTCTTGGACTCAACCATGAGGGGAAACATCCTCTCAGCATTTATCCTTTTAAGCTCCTGAAGAATGCTACATGTTTCAATGAGATTGCCACTAATTTTTCTAAGCTCAGTGAGTAGAAACCCAGCCTGTTTAACCTTTGCTCATTAGACAACCCCTCCACACCAGAGATCATCCTAGTGAATCTTCTCTGAACTGCCTCAAATTAAATGATATCTTTCCTTAATTAAGGGGAAACCAAAACTGCTCACAGTACTCCAGATGTGGTCTCACCATTTTGTACAGTTGCAGTAAGGCCTCCCTTCTCTTATACACCAACCACCATTATTGGAGAGGATTTGAGTACAGCAGTAGTGAAGTAATTCTTCAATTGTATAGGAACTGGTTTCAACTGGACCTGGAGTACTTTGTATAGTTCTGGTCTCCTTATCACAGGAAGGATATTATTGTCATAGAGGGAGTGCAATGAAGGTTCACCAGACCTGTTCCTGGGATGGTGAGAGACTATCCTACTAAGACAGATTGGGCAAAATGTATTCTCTAGAGTTCTGAAACATGAGAGGTGATCTCATTGAAACTTTCAAAATATTTAAAGGGGTAGACAGGATAGATGCAGATAAGATGTTTCCCCATTTGGTGAGTCAAACCCTAACAGGGCACAGTTTATATTCATGCCTACAAAATAGGCACAAGAGTAGGCTATTTGGCTCATTAGGTCCACTCTGCCATTCAATATGATTGTAGCTAATTATCCAATCCGTACTACCCTGTTCTCACTTCCTTCCCATATCCTTTGATCTCTGTAAACCGAAGAACTATAGCTAACTCCTCTTTGAAAACATTCAATGTTTTGGCCTCAATCAATTTCTATGGAAGAGAATTCGACAGGGTCACCACTCTGGCTAAATAAATTTCTCCTCAACTCAGTCCTAAATGTCCTGCCCCATATCCTTAGAGTATGACCCCAGGTTCTGGACTCCCTGCTCATTGGGAATGACCTTCCTGTATTTACCCTGTCTAGTCCTGTGAGAATTTTATTGGTTTCTATGAGATCAGATCTCATTCTTCTAAACTCCAGTGAATATAGTCCCAACCGATCCAGTCTTTCTTCATATATCAGTCCTGCCATCCCAGGAAACAGTCTGGTAAAACTTTGTTGCACTCTCTTCATAGCCAGAACCATCCTTCCTCAGACAAGGAGACCAAAACTGCACACACAATTCTCCAGGAGTGGTCTCACCCAGTACAGTTGCAGTGAGATATCCCTGTTCCTGTATGCGAATCCTCTCGCTATAAAAGCCAATGTTCCACTAGCCGTCTTCACTGCCTGCTGCATCTGCTTGATTACTTTCAGTGACTGGTGTACAAGGGACATCCAGGTCTCCTGCTTCCCAATCTCTCACCATTCAGATAATAATCTACCTTCCTGTTTTTGCTCTCAAAGTGGATAATCTCACGTTTGTTCGGATTATACTTCACAGTTCATCGGCCCACCCAGCATTGTGTTATCCGCAGACTTGGAGGTTAATTTAGGTTACGTTTAGTTAATTGTATCATACAGCAGGGAAGAGAGTCTTCAGCCTATCTGTGCCATCATAAATACACTTCTACTTATACTAGTCCCACTTTCCAACACTAGGTCCATAATCCTGACTGTTACGACACTTCAAATGTTCATCCAAGTTTTTTTCTTAAGATGTTGTGAGATTTCCCACCTCAACCACCCACCCAGGGAGTGTATTCCAGATTCCCACCACCCTCTGGGTGAAAACAGATTTTCCTCAAAACCTTCTGCTTTTCACTTTAAAAGTGTGCCCCTTGTTCTTGACTTTTGGACTGAGGGAAACAGCTGCTTACTATCCACCCTGTCTATTCCCCTCGTAATCTTATACACCTCAATCAGCTTCCCCTCCAACCTTCTCTGCTTTAAAGAAAACAGGAAGGATGGTTCTGGCTATGAAGAGAGTGCAACAAAGTTTTACCAGACTGATTACAGGATAGAAGGACTGATGTATGAACAAAGACTGGGATGTTGAATCTCCTCTGCACCCCATCCAGCACAATCATATCCTCCCTTTAGTGTGGAGACTAGAACTGCACACAATACTCCAGCTGTGGCCTAAACAAAGTTCTGCACAGGTCCAACATAACTTCCATGCTTCTGTAATCCATCTGTTCACTGATAAAGACAAGTGTCCTGTATACCTTCTTCACTCCCCTATTAACTTGTTCTGCCACTTTCAGGGATCTGTGGACTCCCCAAGATCCCTCTGAACTTCCCAGTGATCTGCCATTCATTGAGTATTCTCTTGTCTTGTTCTTCTTCCATAGTGCATGACCTCACGTTTATCAGGGTTAAATCTGACCAACTCATCTATACCCTCCAGTGATCTAAGATGACCCTCCTTACTGTCAACCACACAGCCAGTCTTTGTCATCCATAAACTTACTTATAATACCCCTATTGTTCTCATCTGCATCATTTATGAATATTACAAACAATAAGAGGCCCAGTCCTGATCCATCTACAACCTTCTATCACCACCAGCTGTCTCCTCCTACTAAGCCAATTTTGGATCCAACTTGACAAGTTATCCTGGATCCCATGAGCTATTACTTTTACCAAGTTTCCATGTGGGACCTTTTCAAAGGCCTTGCTGAAATCCATACAAACGATCAACTGTCCTACCCTTGTCTACACATTGGGTCAGCTCCTCAAAAAATTCAATCAAGTCTGTTAGTTCTCTCACCCAAATCTTTAAGACCACAGGACACAGAAGCAGAATTGGGCCATAGACTTCTGTGGCAATGAGTTCTACAGATTCCCCAGCTTCTGGCTGAAGAGATTCCTCCCCATCTTAGCTCGAAAGGGTCATCCCTTCACTCTGATAGACTGTGCCCTTGGGTCTCAGTCTCTCCTAGTAGTGTAAACATCTTTGCCACGTCCTCTCCACTCAGGCCTCTCGATAAGCTATATTCAGATATATTCTGAATAGCTGGGGTCCAATCCCCGTACTCTGCAGTAGCTACTTCCAGCCACTCAGAAAAAGAACCATCGCTCCTGCTCTATGCTTCCTATCTGCCAACCAGTTCTCTCTGCATGTCAGTACACTACCCCTATGCCATGCTCTTTAATTTTACATGCTTTCTCTTCAGTGGGACCCTACCTTAAAAATAAAGGGAATGCCACAGGGTACTGAGATGAGGAGAATTCTTTTCACTCAGGGTGTTGAGAACCTTTGGTATTCTGTACCACAGAGAGCTGTGGAGGCTCAGACTCTGAATATGCTTCAGATAGAGACTGACAGATTTCTGATGACTGGTGGCATACAGGGTTATGAGTAAAAAGCATTGAAGTGTTCAATCAGCCATGATCATGTTGAATAGCAGGGCAAACTAGAGAGGCTGAACGGCCTTCTCCTGTTCCTCTGTTCCCATCCTGAAACGGTTTGCCAGAGCAGACACTGAGAGGATGTTTCCCCTTGTCGGTGACATCTAGAACAGGGGCTACAGTGTGAAACTGAGGGGTTTTGTCCATTTAATTGGAAATGAGGATAAATTTTATCACCTGGTGAGGGTGATGAGTGTGGAATTCCCTCTCCCAGAAAGCAGTGAAGGCTGGGCCACTGAATATATTCAAGGCTGAGTTAGACAGGTTTTTGATCGAAGCAGTTAGAGGTTATGCGGGACAGGAAGAAAGTGGAGCTGAGACCACAACCAGATCAGCACGATCTTATCGATAAGCAGAGCTGGATCAAGGAGGCAAATGTTCTTCTCCTGCTCTTATTTCTGATGATCTTTTAATTTTTATAATCATTATAGAAGGAGTGCTGGAGGATCTGCCTTTGAAATATGTGGTTTCCTGATTTCGGGAGTACACTGAAGCTGTGCGTATAATGTGTAATAATAAGTGAGGCAAAATTCAGATTCAACCTACAAGTGGCTTGAGAAACGTTTGTTATTTTATTTGGTAACAGACTCGAAAGACCAGTCTTTATTACCTTTTTCCCCTGGTATCTTCTTGAGAAGGTATTGGTCGTTGTTTCAGGTTCTGGTTCTGAAGAGGTTAATGTTCGTGTTACATTGAATCTACCCATTGCACTGATGTGACACATTGTGTGTGGGTGGAGGCAAGGTGTTTTATTCCAAATTTCAGAAGGAGCAGATCTATCTGTACCAACTGTGAGGGGTTTTGGTAATTATGTCTAACTTCAAGATTGTTATGGAAAAGGACAAAGATGGGCCTGAAATGAAAGCTGTTAAGTGTGGGGAGGCTGATTTTAATAAGATCAGAGATGATTTGGCCAGAATGGACAGTGGAATGCATTCAAGAAAGACGTATGGAAAGTACAGGGCCAACATGATCCAATGAAGAAAAGGATAGGGCCATCAAATTCTGTTAATCTTGGATATCAAGGTATAGAAAGTTGGAGGCCTGAGCGAAGTGGGGATGGTCAGCGGGCCGGAGGCTTGAGCAGAGCAGAGGAGGTGGTTGGACTGGGGACCAGTCAAGTGGTTTTTGAGCCCTGGTAGACCATGTGTGGAAGCCCCCTGCACTGATGTACTGAAAGACTGTAACACTTATTAATCTTATTCTCATTTTTCTAACTTATACTATGAACAACTGTAAGTAATGTAACTTTTTTTTTCTTTTTTCCCTTTATTTCTGTACTTTGTACTTTCGATGTCGTCATATGGGGCGACATTGTAAACTTTTCATTGTACTCCTGCTCTTGAGTACACGTGACAATAAAGGATATTCTATAATCTACTCCCTTTACTTTGCATCCACAAGGTCTGAATACTGCTTTTTCGTCTTGCAGCCCCATTCAGCTGCACTATTATTAATTGTGCACAGGCTTCTTTTAAGCCGTTTTGGCTCCTAAGACTTTCCTGACCCTCCATCGTCCAGAGCTATTCAACTGCTGAAGGACTTGCCCGAGCCCTCATTACACAAAACCTGTGGTTCATCTGCCTTTAGCAGCACGGTAATATTAGAGTGTACAGTACTGTCGTACAAGCAACATAGTAGTTCTTATGAATACACAGAATCTCTGTCCGTCTCTCCTTCACTAACTCACTGGCTTTCCGAAGTGTCTGTAACCAACGATCAAAAAACCAACTGACCTATAGAACCCCTCACAATAAGCCTCTCCCCCTGTGCTGAGGAGTATCTCAGGTTACCGTCAAATGACTTATGGAGCTATCTGTTCCATAAATGTTACGAGACATGTATGTTGGCTTGCTCTGCACCAATAATGGGTACAGACAGAGGATTCCAGTCATGAACCTAGTCCTTCAGTGTGTGTTTCCTCTTGAATCATGTAAACTACAGCGTCCTTGATGCACTGGCTGCGATAGTTTTATTGTTTGTTCCTCAAGGTTCAGCCTCAGATAGTCCTGCCTGAAAAGACAGTGTTCTCTTTAATTAACTGTTGCACAGCCAGTATCAACACACTAGTGTTTTTGTTTTGTTTTATGTGAAATGATCCTCTTGAAAGACACATTGGATCTGGTGCAGGTGCATTCGTCATTTGCCTCCGGTTCTTGTTTGATCTTATAGCCTTGTCTATAAAGGCAGATTTGCTGTTTGTTAAAACTGTTCAATGTCAAATCGAAGACCAGAGAGGGGAGGATGCTCTTGTAATCTCCAGAGTTCTGATCAAAGCAGTCAAAAATCTTACAGCTGGACAGTATAAACCCAGGAACGATGTTTCCCCTGGGTAGGAGCTCTACACTCAAGACATCTTCAGAACAGGAGGTGTTGTTCAGTACTAAAATTGGAACAGGAATTGGCTCTCTTCGAGTCTGCCCCACTATCTAATACAGTCATGATTAATCGAACACAGCAATGCCATTTTATCCACATGAACCCCATAACTTTGTACTCCACTGGTTATCAGATCTATCGATCCCTATCTTAAACATAATCAATGCCAGCTCTCTCAGTCCTCTGTGGGAGACACTACCAAAGATTGACAAATATCCAAGTAACAATATTTCTCATCTCAGGTCACCCATTACTTTTAAATTGCACCCATAAATGTGAGAGTCAAAATGGGAAATAACACTGAATGACCGAGCAAATCATCTGGCAGAACCAGATGGATGCGTGTCCACAACCTATTTCATTCGTTGAAACAGATTGAGGACATTGCTGACTCAGTTACCATTTATCACTGCGTCCCTAGTAGCACACCTGCCCCCAAACCGTGGTGAGAGGTTGAGAAGGTGGGGGGGTGAGCTGCCTTCTTGAATCACTGCAGTCCATGTGCTGTAGATAGACCCACAATGCCCCTTAGGGAGCGAATTCAAGGATGATTCAGCAACACTGAAGGAACGTCAATATATTTCCAAGTCAGGATGGGGAGGAGTTCAGAGGGGAACTTGCAGGGGTTGGTGTTCCCATGCATCTCCTGCTCATGTCCTTCTCGATTGAAGTTGTCATGGGTTTGAAAGGTGCTACCTAAAGATCACAGAATCCCTCGTGTGGAAGCAGGCCAGTCGGCCCATCAAGTCCACACTGACCCTCCAAAGAGCAGCCTACCTAAACCCACACCCCTACCCTGTCCCTGTAATCCTGCATTTCCCCATGGCTAACCCATCCAGCCTGCACATCGCTGGACACTATGGGCAATTTAGTCTGGCCAATCCACCTAACCTTGGACTGTGGGAGGAAACTGCAGCACCCAGAGGAAACCCATGCAGGCACGGGATGCTTATGGATGTGGTGCCAATCAAGAGGGCTGCTTTGTCCTGGATAGTGTCAAACTTTGAGTATTGTTGGAGCTAGCCCCATCCAGGCAAGTGGGGAATATTCCATCACATTCCTGACTTATGCTTTGTAGATGGTGGACAGGTTTTGGGGAGTCTAATCCAGTTAATAGCTAATCTAGTTCAGTTTCTGGTCAACTGTATCCCCCAGGATGTTGTCAGTGGGGATTTAGTGACTGTAATCCTATTGACTTTTATGAGATGTTTATCTCTTAAATGTAAATGGTAATTGCCTGGCGTTTGTGTGGCGCAAATGTTACTTATCACCTTCACCCAAGCCTGGATTTTGTTCAGATCTTGTTGCATTTGAACACGGACTGCTTCCATATCTTGAGGAGTCATGAATGGTGCTGAACGTTGTGCAATCATCAGCGAACATCCCCACTTCTGACCTTACCATGGTCATTGATGAAGCAGCTGAAGATGGTTGAGCTGGGACACTGTCCTACGCAAATAAGGAGCTCTTCTGGTGCAGTGGTAACCTCTACCTTTGTTCCAGAAGTGTATTATTTTATAATCAACCTGTTCAGAGATGTAATATCTACCCTGAGCAAATCCTGTGGCTGAGATAACTGACTAAGTGTGTTACGACTAACCACAAATCACAGCAGAAATTAATTGCACACTTGCTTAATCAAGTTAAAATTATTGAAAATTAACCTGATGCTACACAAGTGATTAGGAATGCAAATGAAACGTTGTTGTTTGTTGCGAGATGAATGGGACATAGAAGTCAAAGTTCTACTACACTGACAGGGTGTTAGGGAGACCACATCTGGAGTACTGTGTACAGTTTTAGCCTCCTTGTTTAAGACAGCGCACAGATGCCTCCAAACTGTGCGTGAGTGCATTAAGATTTTCTAAACAACCTGCTATAACCTCCTTAACAATACATTCAAATATTTTCCCTACCACCTTTTCTAAAGAGTAAGATGCAGAAACAGGTTGTGCAGAGAGATGGCATACGAAAGGTAGGAAAGTCACTGGTTATAGATTTGGATTTACAACGGCATATGTTCGTCAAAGTCAATCTGTCTCACTCGTTTCCTGAAAGGACCTCAACAACCCTGCTTACCTTTGAAAAACCCTCTCTTATCTCCGTGACCTCTTTCAGTCCCTGCAAGCTTCTCTGTGCTCCTCAAGTTCTGAGCTCTTGACTACCTCCCGATTCCGAATGTTTGGTCACGTGTTGCTAATACCTTTTCACGCAGAACTATCTGAATGGTGTATGGTTTGCTGCGCCCTCTTGTTTCACACAATTCAAGTCAAGACACACAAGAGGAGACTCCGATCCCTGACCAGAAATTGCACAGCCAGATCCTTAAATGTAACAGTTTATTGCCATTCCAAGCAAAAAAACACAAGAGGGTTAGTGTTAACATGGGAGTGACCATTAAAAAAACGCCCAGCTCCGATTCAAAATGGGTCTCACCCCCTCCATCCCAAAAGACAAATCATTGTTGAAACCAGACACTGTGTCTAATCTTCACCCTTATTCTCCTGTGCCCCCTAACACTATGTTGAGAGCGGGGTGGGGGAGACGACCAAATATTCACCCACAAATTTCCCAGCCGCACCCTCCCATTCCCAGCAGAGATCTGCAAAGCTGTGTCAGATAGACGCATTTTTCTCTCTCCCCTTCCCTGCTCCCCATCCAGTCAAATAGCTCCAAGCTTGGATTGGGTGAGGAGGAGGATGAGAGAAAGATGGGGGTGGGGTCCCTCGCCCTCTTGTCCAGCTGTGACTCTATAGGAGCAAACATTCATTCGATAAACAAACTGCCCGCGCGCCCCCCCCCACCACACACACACACACACACCTCTCCACCCCTACCCCACCCCCCGGTCGCCACCCCTCATCTGGCTTTAGGCACACCCGTCTTTGTACTTCTGATGAAGGTCCATGACATCGTCACGGCAGATACGCACCCAACCGGTCTCTTTGACATGGTAGAGGCTGACTATTCCCCCTGAGTAGGCATCGCGGTAGGTGGCATGATAGATGGCCTGCTTGGCCAGCTCATAGGCCTCCGTGGGGCTCATGTCGTGCCGGTACGCCCGGTCCAGCACACCGTAGGCGTAGACAGAGCCCGAGCCCACAGAGAAGATCTGACCTGAGACTCTATTTCCCTCGCTGTCGACGTAATAGAGACCTGGAGGTGGTAGGGGAGGATGAAAGAGAGAGAGAGAAAGTCAAGGAAGATGGGAGAGAAATCACACAGAAGCACCATCTGCCATTCAGGACATTAGACTGCAGAGGCAGCACACTTTTCAGAGATTAGCCCTGCCAACCCAGGGATAAGGAGGGTGAATGGATAGCTCCCCAGCCCAGGAATGACCCTGCTCGTGTGTCCCAGCCCCCAGCTCGCCTCTCACCTGGCCCTCGCTTGTCCCAGCCGCAGATCATGGTGCCCATGGACAGCCCCATGCCTTTGTACTGGTAGACCATGTTGGCCAGCAGTTTGGAGGCAGCAGCCACAGAGATCCTCTCCT